AAAGTCACTTAACCTCTGACCTCTAAGGTTTTCATCCATGAGACAGTACTATTGAGACAGCACTCAATTCTTAGGAATGAAGACCGTTCACAGTGGACAGTCAACAGGATTGTGTCTTGCATACTGATATGTGGCATTTCATTTAGTAACGTATTTGAACATGTTTTTATGGTTGCATATATAGTTCTACTTCATCTTTTAGACAGTTACATTTTTTAAAAGACGTTTCTCTTTGTAACTCTGGCTATCTTGGAATTAGCTCTGTAGATCAGGCTGGCCTTGAACTCACAGAGATCCTCCGCCTGCCTCTGCTTCCCAAGTGCTGGAATTAAAAGTGTGTGCCACCACCTCTCTGCTGACAGTTGCCTTTTAACAGTAGAAGATTTTGCATTCTTGTTTTTTACCCCATGAGCCAAAATTGTTTTTTATTCATTACTTGCATTTAAAGTACTCTTTGCTAACATCCTTGGCCAGAGATTCTTTGCTGTAATCCTCAATCACTACACAGCTATAGCCAACCATTTTACATGGCTTTCCTTCTCCACCAGCTTGACAGAGACCTACCCATTCCCTAGTTTCCTGCTGTCATTAACCTTAAATAAGTTGATTTGGTGCTCAGCATAGGTGTCTCCACCAACTTGACATACGTGGGCTCATCACAATTGGACACAAGCACGCAGATGGGCTTGGCACTCGTCTACGGCTTTGGCAGCTTTACGAGTGCTATGTGCTGGGCCACCTCGGACAAGGGTGGTCTTCAGTAACTCTTGGAGTATTGATGTCCATCACACCTCTAGGGCAATGCTGTGGTAGATCACAGGCCTCAGCAGTGGCGGGGAAAGTGCTTGTGGATTCTACTCTAAAGAATCCAGTTTCTTAACTTGGCCTGGCGCACACCTTTATCTCAATACTCTGGAAGGCAGAGACAAGTGGGTCTCTGTGAGCTGGTGGTCAGACTGGTCTTCAAAGTGAGTTCTAGTATAGACAGGACTATGTAGAGAGATCCTGTCTCAAAAATAAAAGCTCCTGTTCTTAATTTTTTTCCTAATTACATAGTAAAAGATTGCTCAGGAAGTTCCCTTGTCCCACACCCCCCTCCACTTCATCCTGTGTCACAGCAGGGCTGTTGGTCAGAAGCTGTCTTCCAGCTGAACAGAAAGTGGTCAAAACTCTTGAATCTTCCCTTGAATAACATGAACCAGCCCTCTCCCATTTCCTTCCTTCCAATTGGAGGGACACATTCTCCTGAAGTCTGTTGATAGTTTTTCTTGATTTTTAATTCACACGTACACGAGTGCTGCCGTTGCCAATGTCTTTCACTTTGCAAGTCTGAAAGGTGATATGTAATCATAACATTTCTTATTGCACCTTCCTTTTACTACCAGTTACGTTTCTGGATGCATTTGAGTTGGTAGCTAGGTCTGTAGTCATGAATGCCTATTAATTGTCCATTATATGAATAAACCCAACTAAGCCATTTTTGTCTTCTCTTCATTTAATAGCTCCTTTATTTATGTGCCATTTGTGCCTGCATGGCTTCTTTTTTTATTTTCATTAAAAAATTGTATTTACTTAGAAGCATTCAGAATGTCGTCAAAACAGCCACAATTAATTTTTTTTTTTTTGCAATTACAGAGTGGTGTTCAGTTAACAGAACAACAATTATCTTCGTATAAGCTGCGTCAGAGACAACTGAAGATGGAAAAAAAACAAAAATAAAACCAAAAGAAAAGAAAAACAAAAACCAAACTACAGTTCCCATATATAACTAATTTGTGCTGTGCACCAACAAGAACCTGCTTTAAATTTCCATGCCAATTTACAACCCTCAGACTGTACCAGGCAAGGATAGTGGCTATTGAAAATACCACCAGGACAGGGCTATCTAAAGACACATTCGGTAGTGTGTTAACTATACAAAAAAAAAGACACTGTACAATTTAAAAACAAATCTTACACAGCCTTACATTTCAATTTTTTTTCTTTAAAGGGAGTGAGTTGTGTACAGGGGGGTTAAATGCTTTATAGACAAGAAAAAAAACCTGCGCTAGAACCAACTTATTCATCATCATCATCTTCATCTTCCTATTCCTCCTCTTCCTCATCCTCTTCATCCTCCTCCTCATCTTCCTCTTCCTTCTTTTTCTTGCTCTTTTCAGCCTTGACTACCCCCTTTTCGCTGCATCAGGTTTTCCTTTAGCTCTGTAGGCAGCAATATCCTTCCTGTACTTTTTCTTCAGCTTGGCAGCCTTCTTCTCATAGGGCTGCTTGTCAGCCGCTGCAGTGTTGTTCCAGGATGCTCGCCTTTGATTTCTGGGCAGTACCCAGAACAGAACAGGAAGAAGGCCGAAGGAGGCCTCTTGGGTGCATTGGGGTCCTTGAACTTCTTTTTGGTCTCCCCTTTGGGAGGGATGTAGGTTTTCATTTCTCTTTCATAACAAACCTTGTCAGCCTTTGCCATATCTTCAAATTTCCCCTTTTCTTTAGCAGACATGGTCTTCCACCTCTCTGAGCACTTCTTGGAGAACTCTGAGAAGTTGACAGAAGCATCTGGGTGCTTCTTCCTGTGCTCCTCCCGGCAGGTTTGCACAAAGAATGCATATGAGGACATTTTGCCTCTCAGCTTCTTAGGATCTCCTTTGCCCATGTTTAGTTGATTTTCCTCCGTGAGGCACAGAGGAAAATCACCCAGTGACTCTGGGCTTCCTAGCTTGCTCATTCAATCATTTAGCTGGTATCTTTCCGTGGAAACTCTTTAATAAAGTTTGTTTTCCCTGGTACGGCGGACAGCTACAGAATTAATGAAATCAAACAGAAAAGTTAATGTAACCAAAGCCTTAGGCTAAAGGCACGACTCTGACTCAAAGAAAGAAATGAAAGTAATAGTAAAAATGTATAAAAAGGTTTTAATCAAAATGGCCATTTACATGTTTCATCCTTCCTTCAGGATGCTGACATGGCTTTAGATTTAAATAGAGGAAGAATGTGGGGGAGTGGCAAGAGGCATGCTCTATTAAACAGTGCTGGTCAGGCTGTTGTTTGGTCAGGCTGTGGTTAAGTCAGGCTATGATTTGGTCAGGCTATGGTTCGGTCAGGCTATGGTTTGATCTGGCTATGGCTTGGTCAGGCTATGATTTAGTTTGGCTGAACAGTGGCTCAATCTGTTTCTGCAAGATGGCCTTGAAAGAGTCTTTATCAGTTGTGTGAACAGTTTGTTTCCCACAAGATGGTGGCTCCTATTAGGGGATGATCTTCTCATGAGGTGATCTATCTTTGAAGTTATTTTACTCCCAGAATGCAAGGTTCTGTCAGAGTTATAGGAATGACGGGAGCTTGTCTGGAGCATTCTCTGGTATCTGGAGTGGGGTGTTGTAAAAGCTAATAGTCAGATATTTCAGTTATTTATAACTTATAAAAATAAAGGTTATTTTTTATTAGAACATCATCTGCAAGGCAGTTAACAAGACCTTCAACAACCTGAACTTGATCCTGCTAATATAGAGTATAAATTGGACAGTATGAAACTACCCATCACACTCCTGAAAAGTTACAGAAGGTTGCTGTATCAGGTGGGTACATCTGGGCAGTGGAGGTGGGCATTACATAGAAGGTAAAACCCACTTCTAGTCACTAGGGTTTTTAACTTATCATCTTCTTGCAATATAGTCAGTTCAGATTAATCTCTTCAGGCTAATTATTGAAGGTTACAGCTACAAAATACATAGTCCCGTGGCATTTTAACTGTGACCAATAGAGATATATGCCCAGCTGTTTGAGTACTGTGTTCTCAGCTGCTAGGACTAAGACGTGATTTCTGCTATAATGACCACCAATAATGTAGCACAGTGGCTTTCTGTAACTGTGTATTTTGTTTCTTTATTTGAAGAGTTCATGTTTGCTAGGCCATCCGGATGGAAAGTCCCACCTGCCATGGTGCTGCCATTTCCTGGCTGCGATTGTTAGATGTATCAGCCGTTTAAGTCACTTTTGGCACTTTCTTCCATAGTTCTAGTGAGCACAAGGAGAAGCCAGGATCAAAACTGGAACTGGCTTCAACGGCATTCTCTGCTTCTCCAATAATAGAGCTGGAAACAAACCCCAGATAATATAATTTCGTAAACAGCACCGGAGTTACTAACTTTTAGCCTCCAGCGATGCGAATCCTGCTGTGCAGATTCTCCTCACTCCTAAGCAAAAAGACAGCAGTTTACGCGTACCCGCTGACCAGATCTTTTTTTCTATCGACTCAAAAGGCTAAATTGCCTCAGCCCATTGTGCTTAAATCAGCTTGTGCTCTTTCTAGGCTTCTAAACAAATGTTTTATGGATGGAATTTTGAAAGCACAACCGCATCCCGAGGCTAATACCATCCAGATGTGTGTTCTTTTCTATACATCGAAATGTGCCTCTGTGGGTGACAGTAGGGATGGCGGCTTATAGTAAGCTAGAACCGACGGAAAAAGGAAAAGACAGTCCAGGTGGCTAGACCACCTCCAGGGAGTCATAGGTTACAGCTAGACCCCTCTGGAATGTTGGAAATCTTGGAGCAGAGTTAGAGCTGAGAGTAGGGCTCAGGGGTTCCTAGCACCAAGGGTCAGAGCCGCAGGCTGGTACAATTTGCACTACCAAGGCATGCCAGTGGAGTGGGTGTGGGAGGTATATAGGTCAGGGTCAGCGTCCTGTGCGAAGGCAGACAGACCTTCTGCTTGAAGGGATGGGGTGGCTTTGAGTATCTCTGCTTTGGCCGGCTCCAGGTGGCCATCATATGACACAAGAAACCACAGGTTCCTTTGTGTGGAGGCAGGGTGTGTGTCTCTGTGTTATTGTTCCTCTTTGCACTCCCACGGCAGCGAAGGTGGGTGCCCATCGGTTACGGTCACTCAGCAGCAGGATCGCGGCGGCGGATGCTTTCCCTTTAAGTGCGCGGGGGTGGGGGTGGGGGCAGCTCCGGGCCAGGAGGCGCGGTCTGGGCGGGGCTGAGTTCTAGGACAAATTGCAAGACGTGGCCACGTGCTTCCAGAGTCGCCCGCAAACGGGATCGGGACTCGCGTGGCTCTCAGCCTGCACAGCGCAGCGATGTCCGGAGCATCCGCCAGGAGCCTGGGGAAGGGTGAGGCTGCCGGTGGCGGAGAGGCTCGGGGGACCGGGAATGCCCGGGATCTTCCTGAGATCCGGCCGTGACCACCTTCTCTCTCCTGCAGGAAGCGCGCCCCCCGGCCCGGTCCCGGAGGGCCAGATCCGCGTTTACAGCATGAGGTTCTGTCCCTTCGCTCAGAGGACGCTGATGGTCCTGAAGGCCAAGGGAATCCGGTGAGGACCAGGGCGTCGACTCCCCGAGCCGAGCGGGGCTGGTGGCGGGGCTGGCAACTCCGCCTCAAACCCTCGGGGCTTTGGGTTCACAAAATAGTCTCAGGCTTTTGTAGGAGACTTCCGTTGCGCACCCTCTTTTCTAGGGAAGAATTCTCACGGACTCCAGGGCTCCAGGGCAGCCTGTTTTAACAGTCCGTGGCTCACAAAAGCTGTTTCCTCGGTGAGGTTAGTGGTTTACACAAGATTGCAGAACACTGAGGTGGCCGTTTCAGCTCGGGTCCTCGGATTCTTGATGAATTAGAGGCTTGCGTGCTACGCGTTGTACAAAGATCACCCGCCCAGTGGAGGTCTGAGTCTTGTGCACAGGCATTTGGGTTGTAAACACAGGGAAGCGTCTGAGTCAAGCCTCATTATTCAGTCATTGACCTACTGGTTATCTACAGTTGGCAAGTCTCTTGGCTTTTCTGATACCGTGTGTCCGTTGGACCATTTTCCTTCCAATGTCTTGGGGAATCTTTTGAGCAATTATTAGATACTCGCTGTTTGGAAGCTCACTCTTAGGAAAAATTTCATGTATACAGTTAAAATTCGTAAATGGCTGTTAGACCATGGGGAGAATTGGCTAGGCAGGCAGTTCTTTTCCCTAAATGTTAGGATGTAACCTAAAATTAACTGTCACTTTGTAACGATTTTAATTTCATTTGGATGGGATATTTGGTTTTGAACACAAGAAAATATTTTTGGCATATATAACCTAAAGCAATTTTCTGCATTAGTCAGAACTTTTATTATAACAAAGAAACTCAAACTGAATTTAAAAATAAAAGCTATTTATTGTTCACATACAATGAGAGAGTCCAAGATCAGGGCACAGCTGGATTCAGGGCACAACGCCTTGTGTTATGTGTTTCCCCCGAAACTCTGCTTGGAAAAGAATTATATTTCACACCAGGACTTTTCTAAAGCAAAATTGAAATTACTTTACCGTAACAGTGGGGTGGGGACTCTTACTGAGAAAAGGGTACCTTCAGATAGTGTGTGTACTGCTATGTTCACAGACTGATTTTGAACCAGGAAACTTTTTCTGGGGCAGTAACATTGTACATAAGTCATGTGTGTTGCATACTCATGTAAGGAGTGTCCTCCAGTCAGTGGGCTCAGCTGTGCTGAGTGCTGGCTCAAAATGCCAAGCTTCCAGCATTCACTTGTGTTCTTGATCTCCAGAGACCAAGACCTGCCTTCCATTTTCAAAATATAGTTCTCAGAGATGGACATTATTCTGTGGCAGAGGGTTTTGTTCTTCCCATGTCAGGTGGCCTGTATGTTCATTATTCTGTAAACCGTTTAACATTCACACACACACACACACACACATGCACACACACACTTCCTTCAGTGTTCACACTGGCTGTTTGTTTTTGTGAAGGATTATGCATTGAAATCTATAAACTAAATCTGATCTGTTGTGGATGAGGACACAGGAAATCAGCCACTTTGGGATGGCTTACTTTTGAGTGGTCTCTCTCTTAGTGGACCGCGCACCTGATTTGATTCACACAGACATTGTGTAAGGATTAGAGCACTCTCCTTTCTCTTACAGCCTCTGTAGGATGCAAGGCGGACACAGTTACAATCTGGATTTAGCCTGGCTCCAGTGGATTCTTTCTCTTTTTTAAATTTATTTTGTATACTTTTAAAATTTTTTTATGTGCATGTGTGTGCACGTTTGCATGAGTTTATGTGCTTACAGGATCCCACAGAGCAAAACAGGGCATGGGATCCCCAGGAACTGGAGTTACAGTTGTGAGCCCTGATGTGGGTCCTGGGAACTGAACCCAAATCCGCTGCAAGAGTAGCAAGTGCTCCTAACGACCAGACTGCCTGTCTAGTCTCATACTTTTTGTGATTTAGAAACCTTTTTAAAGAAAACATATCAAAACATGTGGATTTAATGTGGTTCATTTTATGAGATTTTTTTTTAGGATTAAAAAAAATACCCTTGTAAACAAGTTTTTCAAAATTCATATTAGCAAAATGAATTCAGTTGAGTCAGTTCAACTCGTTTTGAACTGAACCAAAATGAAACGAGGTTTTGTCAGGCTAATTCTAATAGACTGAGTGGGCATGCTCACAATCCAATTGCTGGCTGCCTCCTGTCAGGATGCAGAAGACACCAGCCTTCCCATGGTTAGTACAGCACTGTTCACAACGGTGTGCTGCAGATGGCCACCAACAGATGAGAGGGTAACGAAAATGCTCTATACGTAATGTTCCACTTTAAGGACAAGGAAAGTCTACGGTGTGTGACAGAGATGGATCCTGGAGTCGCTAAGTGAAACAAGTCAGAAAAACAGAAATGTGAGCATTGGCCGCTCGCCTGCACGAGGGCATCTGGTCCAGGTTCTTAAACTGCAGGTGCAGCGTGGTCAGAACTCTTCCTCCTCGATCCAAGGCTCATCGACTAAGTAGATGGTGGAATCGATCCACACTGATTCAGGGAGACAGAAACTGCCTTGCTCTCTTCAGTAGCCTTGTGTCTTTCAGGCACGAAATCATCAACATCAACCTGAAGAGCAAGCCCGACTGGTTCTTTAAGAAGAATCCCTTTGGGCTGGTGCCGGTTCTGGAGAACAGTCAGGGTCACTTGGTCACCGAATCTGTCATCACTTGTGAGTACCTGGACGAGGCATACCCAGAGAAGAAGCTATTTCCAGATGATCCATACGAGAAAGCGCGCCAGAAGATGACCTTTGGGTTATTCTCTAAGGTGTGTGTGTGTGTGTGTGTGTGTGTGTGTGTAAGTAAGAAATTCCAGCTCTTGTTTGGGGGAAAAAAAACCCCAACCCCCCTTGTTTTGTTCTAGGCTAAATCAACTCTGCCTTTGTGATGGTTCAGGGACTGGGGACCTTAACAGAGGCTCTACTACACTCTCTGTGCCCCGCCACGCTCTGCTCCCTGCTTGCCTTTCAGTCAGCCCTCTTGGCTGTTTCTCCTGACTCACCACTGATGATTATTTTTTAAAGTCTGACACATATTCTTCCTTCTCTCTCAGTTTTCACTGGATGTCTTCTCTCTTTTTTTACTAGGGTTAGATATTTTGGATATTTATGCTTGGACCTGCCGCCTTCCTGAAGCGTGGCCAGGCTGCTCAGGACTCCAGCTCTGTTCCCCACTGAGCTTCTCCTCATCGAGGCTGTTGGCCCTCTGCCCTCAGAGCTGCCTGCATTCTTAGCCTTGTTGCCCGGAGAACAAGAGGACTGAGCTTCCCCTGTAGATCGCTCAGTACCTGGTTGTGCAAGGGCAAATATGTCTAGTCATGTTAGTGTTCGGCAGTACAAATGCCTGTTAGTGCTTGCTGACACTGGCAACAGCTGGAACTGCTTGGTTAGTCTATTTCTCAATACAATTTTAGAAAATACCCATAGTTCCAGGCCTATTTGTTCAATTCCAGGCCATTCAGTGTCTATTTATGAGACTTCTGGCTCAAACTTGCTAAAGTGGGTTCCATTATCTGCAAATTACAAAATCTGGAACAACCCCACATACTAGTCCACAAAAAAGGTTTGAAATATCAGGCCGTGGTTTCTGTAAACACTGCGACTTGGTCTGTACTTGTCTCTACAGAGCTCTGGCCGGATTCTGGTATGTTTGTTCTGGAGGGATTCTGGTATGTTTGTTCTGGTGTGATTCTGGTCTGTTTGTTCTGTGTGTGTTAGCAGGGCAGGGCCTTAGCCTCACCCTGATAAAGTAAACAGTCATTCTCCCTTCAGGTGCCGCCTTTGGTTACAAGCTTTATTAGGACGAAGAGAAAGGAAGACTGTCCTGGCATAAAGGAAGAACTGAAGGCAGAGTTCAGCAAGCTGGAGGAGGTACTCGCTTCTCTTGGCTTTCACCATAAGAAATGACAATCTATTCCTGCGTTCCTTCCCCTCATGCCTTCACAAGCTCACTCTCCAAATCACTGCCTGACAACTAGAAACAGTATCCCCATCAAAGACAAATCACAAAAGTTTTTCTGTAAGCTGCTCTACACGTGATATAAGTCAAGACACCTAAAATACCATCATTGACTTTATTTTTATTTAGGTTTTTTTTTGAGACAGGTGTCCCAGGCTAGCCTCAAACCCACTATGCAGCCCATACTGGCCTTAAACTTGTTATCCTCCTGCCTCAGCCACGTGAACTCCAGTGTTTCGAGCATGCTTGACTACACATGGCTTACGGGCTTGAAGTCCTTAGCTCGTCAGCATTAAAATAACAATGGAAAATAGCACCTACGTTTCCACATCACTTGTTCCCGTTTTCTATTGTTTTCAGCCCGTGTTCATATATTTAAAATAATAATAATTTAACCTAGTTGTAATCAGACAGTAGGTGCCGCTTTATTGCTTCTCCACGCTGCTGATGTAATAAAGGCTTACCACTACGAAGTCTGCCAGAAATGCAGACACGTGGGGAAGCCCATGTGTCTTTCCTTTTGTGGAAGTCTGTTCTTTGTGCCTGAAGTTAAAACTTTCTTCGGGGTCTTGAGATATTCTGTTCCCACATAGCCACGGAGAAGCAGAGGCACTCCCTTCAATGGGGATTCATGCTAGCATTCCGTCCTAAGTAAGCATGGAGTTTGTTCCAGTATATTTTTTTCACTCTGTTCCTGTTACTAACTTGCTATTTTTAAGATTTTACTTCTATTACTTTTGATTATGTGTATGTGAGGGGTCGGTGAGGGGGGTGTGGCCCTGGTGGTGTATCCCCTGGAGGGAGAGTTATAGACATTTCTGAGCCTCCTCTTGTGGTCATTGGAAACCAAACTCCCGTCCTCTAGAGAAGCGGTCCCTGCCCTTCAGCTAGAGCCATGCATCTCCCCAGTCTCAGTCTGCTGTTTCTTACACTGTAAATGCTCAATGTTCTTGGCATCTGTTACATTGATGGAAAGTTCACAGAACCAGTTCCCTTTAGCCTGATGCTTGTGGTCTCTAAGTGTCCCTGCTTACTCTCCAGGCCAAGGTCACCTGATATGGCGACCTGAATTAAACCAAGCCAATTGGAGGGGTCCAGAGCAAAACTTAAGCTGTGGTAGTTTTTATTGGGAGCAATCAGAGTCTTTATACCTTTATCAGGAACAGAATATAATGGCAATTGCCGGATCAATACAGTTGTAGTTACCAGGATACAACGACATTTGCAAGCTATACAGGGTACACCAGATCAATGTCTTAGAGCAACTGTCCTGTCAAGCTTCCACGCTTCCGTGACTACCAAGGGAACATCCAGAGAACCACAAAGAGGCCTGAATGCTTCACTGCCTGAGGGAGTGCCTCAGTTTCTCAGGAACTGAAAGGCACACAAGCGCCTGAGAAGCCGCAGACTCTAACCTGAAAAACTCGTGACTCATGCCAGGCAAACTTTAGGGTTCCCAGAAGTGGTCTTAGAGATAGATTTTTCTGGTACTGAGCTGTCTTAGTGTTACTGGGATGGCAGCTTGGTCTCAGTGGACTTTCACATGTATTATAGACTTAATTAATAAAAAATTTCTCTCTGTGCCCATTGGATTTGACCCCTAATTTAGCATTCTGATATTTTTATTTGGGTCTAGTATCATGAATTTCCTAATCTCTTAAAATAACTTCCCTTTAGTGGGATATTTTGATTTATGCCTACAGTTGTGTGTAGATCAGTTTCTTTACTGGTAATTCACGGTGGAGTTATTTATTTGTTCTTAAATCAAGCGTGCTGATTTCTGGTTTTCTGTGGAACGGCGTGGAAGCTGGAATCAGGTTCTTATTTTAGTGAAGAGACGACAAATAATCAGAAAGACATGAACAATCTATCCACAGTGCATAATGTTACAAGAATCTCCGAGGAAAACCACAGAAGCTGTTTATAACAGGAAAGTTGGTTTGGTTCTGGTCTTTTAGAATTCTTTGGCTGTGTCATAAGTAATGTTTTTTTTTTTTTTTAAGTCATATGCATCCTACCTCCTTCAGGTTTAATTAACCATATAATACTCCCAGTTTTCCTCTTCGGTGAAACCTTCGAATCAAATCTCCTTACATTTCAGAAACATCCCACGTGAGATTTAGTGTTGTTCAAATAATTGTCACCTGTTTAATCGTCAATTCTGTCCACTCCTAGGATGTTTTAACTACGTGTTCAACTAAAAACTTACATGCAGGGAAGCACCCCGTGCATGAAAGTACAACTTGACAACTTTAAAAAACAAACAAACAAACAAACAAACAAACACACACACACCGTAGTACACACTGTCTGTATTAAGAGCCAAGTTCTAAGTTTGGGTTGTTTCTTACTTTATATAAATGCAGCTGTGTATTGTGCAAGTTTTAGTGGCTCCTAGCACTCTACTTTAGGGTTATAAGATTCATTTCTGCTATGTGTCATTCCTTCCTGTTTGTAGTCCGGTGTTCTAAGATTTGATTGTATCAAAACTTCTTTACTCTGGACAAGTAGCATGTTCACAGTTGAGCTATTCCAGTTTGGGGATCTCTGACCACCAGGGTCTTAGCAGAGTTAACAATTTGCATGAAGCAAGAAGGAAATCTGGTTCCACATGACTTGGGAGTGGTGGATTCGAACATTCAGAGTCAGACACCGGGCAGTTTGTTTTAGGCATTTTTAACACACTGCAAGCCTCTGTGCACAAAGGCATAATTACAGTGAAACTCTTCTCAAAGTACACGTCTGTGAAGATGGGCTCTGGAGATAGGCTACGTGTACCATCTTAAAGGCCTTGGGGAGGATCTGGTGTGGTCTTGGTCATGCAGATAGTACAGAGGTCTTCTGGGTTATCAGCCATCTCTGGTCCTGGTTGTGGGAGTGTGGGGGAGACTTGGCCATGCAGATAACACAAAGGTCATCTAGACTGTTTGCCACCCCCAGGCCTGGTTGTGGGAGCTTTTTGGGAGCCATGTATGGCTTGGCCAGATAGCACAGGGGTTACTAGGCTACAAGTCACCTCCACTCCCAGTCGTCTGGACAGAACAGGTTACACATCTTTTCCTTTGAAAAGATAACCCTGTGTGGTTAGCATTCCTGTTTTCCCTAGTGCTGTCTGTGAGCAGAAGGACCTTTGTACTCACAACGTATCTGTATATTACAGCAGTTTTCAACCTGTGGGTTGCGACGGAATGACCCTTTCACAGGGGTCGCCTAAGACCATTGGAAAACACAGATATTTACATTATGATCCATAATAGTAACAAAGTTACAGTTATGAAGTAGAGACGAAAATAACTCTATGGTTGGGGGTCACCACAACATGAGGGACTGTATTAAAGGATCATCAGAACTGATTATTCTGAAATAGAAATGCAGTAGTGGGACCGGAGGCAACTCAGTTAGACCATAAGGTCAAATTATGAGAAAGGAGCCAGTGAGAATATTGGGTAAAATAAAAGCATGTTGTTCGATCAGTGCAGTAAAAAGGAAGGTTGAGAACCACTGGTATACTATCTATCAGATTTCCAATTAGAATTGCTGGGTTATGGAGGGTTTTAAATCATATTAAAGCCTACCTTGACTGTATCGGGATAAAAGGGGACTTAGACATTCTCTACCTAATTTGTCTCTGTTGTTTTTAATGATGTTTTTCTATTTGCATAGATAACCTTATTTTTACTTTTTTTTTTAACCATTCAGGCCATGGCTAATAAGAAGACAGCCTTCTTTGGCGGGAATTCTCTCTCTATGATTGATTATCTGATTTGGCCTTGGTTTCAACGACTGGAAGCATTGGAGCTCAATGAGTAAGACATTTGAATATTTTGTTTATAGTTTAGGGTGAGAGTTGTGATATTATTTATGGAATTTTTCTGAACCAAGATAAATATTGAACATTCACTGGCATGAATGTGAACCAACAAGAGAGGGAAGTCCTGGGTATACAGAACCTGTCAGGTCACCTATACATACACATGCTCAGCCCAGGGGTCTATGACATCGGTGTCTTAAATTACCTTCTGCTGGCTAAAAATCTACACGGGTGTAGATAATTTATTTTATTCATATGTACCCTCCATCAGTACAAGTTTAACTAACCAAATAGTGTTCTTGATTTCCCTCTTTGTTGGAACCTTGATATCAGCATGCCTTTCTTACTTCCCTCCTACTTGCGAAAGTTCCACACTGCTTTTTAAACTCATGCTTTGAGTTTGCAGTCAGCTACACTGGCTTACTTCTACGTTCTAGGGATCACGGTGATCTGGGGCTACCTCTCTTCACATTTCCTATAGAAAATTGGCATTTAAGGCTGTTGTCTGTCAGTCTTTCAGTTTGAAGTTCTACTGACTGACCTCGAAACTCTCAACTCGGCTTCCTCTTCTGAGAAACAAAGACCCCAGTGCCACTCAAAGCTAAAAACCTTTTAGTCTACAGCTTGCATTTTTAAAGACCTATGTTTAAAGATAATTTTTTAAAAGTTTGGGGGGACAGACTGTGGTGGTGAGACGCCGGGATGCTTGTCTAGTTTCTCTGGTGGTGAGATGCTGGGATGCCTGTCTAGTTGTTCTGGTGGTGAGGCGCTGGGATGTCGGTCTAGTTCTTCTGGCTCACAGTTCTCATCTTGTCTTCCCACAGGTGTATAGCCCACACTCCAAAACTCAAGCTCTGGATGGCAGCCATGGAGAAAGACCCTGTCGTATCATCCCACTTCATTGATGCCAAGACCTACCAGGATTACCTAAGCCTCTACCTACAGGACAGCCCGGAGGCCTGTGATTATGGGCTCTGAAGGGCAAGAGCACTCAGCAAATGTTTTCCTTCACTGATTGAATAACATGCTTTTATTTTACCCAATATTCTCACTGGCTCCTTTCTCATAATTTGATCCTATAGCCTAACTGGGTTTCCTCCAGGCCTCTACTGCATTTCTATTTCAGAATAATCAGTTCTAATGATCCTAACAGTCTTCAATGACACCCCTAAAACCATCACCTCTGGTTTGATCCAGACTTCTAGATTTGGATTTCAAGAAAAGTGTCAAATTTTAGATTTCTCATTTCTCAGCAGGGTGGTGGTGGCGCACGCCTTTAATCCCAGCACTTGGGAGGCAGAGGCAGGCGGATTTCTGAGTTCGAGGCCAGCCTGGTCTACAGAGTGAGTTCCAGGACAGCCAGGACTACACAGAGAAACCCTGTCTCGAAAAACAAAAACAAAAATAAATAAATAAACAACAAACAAATAGATTTTTCATTTTTGAAAACTATCAGTTCCCCATTCTTTCCATCATTAACTCTCTTATTCCTCTTGTGAGCATCAAAGACCTCAGTCAACATTACTGGGTAGCCGCTTGCTTGAGCTCTCAGCTTCTATTTCATTTCTTAAAATGTGTGTGTGTGTGTGTGTGTGTGTGTGTGTGTGTACACGCACAGATGCTAGAGCTGGTGATACTGGCACAGGCCGTAGGTGATGGGAACCGAATCTCCCTCTGGAAGAGCAGCAAACTGAACTACCGAACTAGCCCCGACTTCTAGCCCTTTGAAATCCTTCCTTCCAAATTCCATAGCAGACAGATATAGGTTTGTCATATGCAATACCATTAAGACCATACCAGCCAGTTCAGTATATAAGACTGAATAAGTAATGGGTGAAATCTCCATTGGGAAAGGTTAATCTTAATACGTTTATCACTTCCATAAGAGAAGGTAGTCTGGGAGCCTCATTCCATTCTAGGGATGATGCAGCTGGTCCAGAGGTTAAGTGAGGCCTTAAGATGTTGGCAGAAGGATTTTGGAAAATATATCCCGGAGGACACTGCCCTTAGGAATATCACCCACCGACAGGTAGGTTTTCTGTATTTGTTTGCTGGCTGGCCTGCGAAAATCTCGGGGTGATTCGTTAAGGGCGCATAACAATCAAGCCAAGCTCAGCGCCACACTTAGGATTTAGCCTCCTCACAGTGATGTGGGGCCCGCACCCTGGGAGCCAGGCACTGGTTGACTTCACAAACGGGACAACTAGGCGTCCCGCTCCGAGCGGAGCCATCTGTGCTGCCGATCACCGGCCCCTGGACAGGCAGGCAGGCCCTGGTGGTTCCTCGCGGATTACTAATAGGATGTGAAAGCCGTGGCTGAGAGGAACTGCCTGCTACCGACTTCCTCTTTCGGTAGTCATAGATTTCCGGTCTGACCCTCGTTTCTCTAGCTGCTGTAACGCGGTCGCCAATTGGCTCGCTCTTCCAAACGAGCCAGGCATTGGCTGGAGCGCAGGGCTCTGTGGCCAATTGCGGGGTAGGACCGTGGGAGAAGGGGCGGGCCGGCCTCCGCGTCTTCAGCCGGGCGACCCAACTCAAGGTTGGAGAGTAGCCGCCGGAAGGTTGCTCCGGGATGCTTTCTCTGCCACCGCCACTGGGTGGTTCCGTCTCACCTGAGCTGTATTTAAAGGGAAGAGGATTTTGAGGTCAATTCTGAGCTTTGGGAACTTCTTAAATTTGAGCTTTTCAGCATAGAATTGCCAACTTTTAATTTTGCACTTTCATTTGAAAAGAAAACCCAAGTGTTTAACCATAGCTAATGTTTCTTTTTCTTTTTAATTTCCACTAAAAAAGTGTAAGGGAGCTTAGAGTATAGCACTAGGGTAAAGAAATCTCAAGAAGGAAAGAATAGTCAATAATCTGATTACTGGATGTCCTTTAAGCCAGAAACCTGTAATTAAATTTAATTTTCTGGTTTGGATGAAGACAGGCTGAGTTCCACAGATCTAGAGTTCGTACCTTCAGTTCAGTATTACTAGTTGATGACACAGACAGGCAGGGGAATCTCGTTTCTGGGACTGCCTGTCTTTTAAAGGCTATGAAAGTTGTCCCTGCTATGTTCAAATAATAATAAACACAAAAACAGCTAATGTTAAGTACTTGCTAGGTGACAGAAGCATGTTAAGTGTTAGATGCTTGCCATACTGATACAAATAATACTTCCCTAAACCACATGGTACTCTTACCTCCCCATTACAGATTAGAATGCCAGTTTGTTAGAAAATCAGGGTGTTGGAGGTTTTTTATTTGCCCAAAGTAACCTTCACCTTTTAAAGGTGAAGTGATTCAAGTGTAGCCTATGTTTGTTGTAAAACAAAACAAAACAAAACAAAACAAAACAAAACCTGTTCTCGAGATAAGTTTACAGATCTATAAAGTTCCTTTGCTACAGTCCTTCCATTTAGAGATTAAGCTAAGACAGAATAATATTATCTGTTCTCAATGGACGCCACATGATTCCAATCTAACTACCTTAGAATAGAAAAGAAAAATTTCTGAACTGAGTTGAATATGTTTAGATTTTTCATGTCACTGTTTCCTAAATGATACAATGTAACAAAGTTTACCTTGTGTTGGCTATTTCAAGTCATCTAGAAGTGGTTTGATGTATTTAAGAGGATATGGGTAGATTATTTGCAAGTGCTACATCATTTTATATAAAATTCTTGGGCATCCATAGAATGTGGTGTCCAAAGAAGTCCTAGAAATAATTCTGGGCATGTTCAGGTCAGGTCTCTGTCATGGTTTGGTATCAGCAGATGTTGATGGTTTTGCATGATGGTTTTACAAACTTTGATGTCAGAATCTTGAAATTTTGCTTTTTGACTATTCAAATATTATTATCAGGATGTGTAAATGTATCACAGGTTATAAAGACACAGGAATAAGGAAACAAGGACTTTAAAAGAAGGTCTCCTTTGACTCAGTTTTCCTTAAGTGGAAGGGAAGGTTCTCCTGTGATAACCTGACACGAGCTTCTCTACAATCCTCACTCCTTGCAAACTCTGAATAAAGGCAGATGTGAGAGTAGAGCCCTTTCCTTCATCTGGCCCGTGGAGTTCAGTGAACAATGCTAGAACACCCACTCCAGTAACAATCTTTCACGTCAAGTGGGCTTTCAAAGAGACAGATGGAATCATAATCTAGCTTCTGCTAATATTAGACACTTGTGACCAAAAAGTTTTTTTTAAAGAAAAAAAAAAGAAAAAGAAAACTTAAGCTTTTATAAAGATGCACACCTTCAATTCCAGCTCTTGGGTGGCAGAGGCAGGTGGATCTCTAAGTTTGAGGCTAGCCTGGTCTACAGAGTGAGTTCCAGGACAGCCAAAGTTACATAGTGAGACCCTGTCTCAAAAAAAAAAAAAAAAAGGAAACAAGAAAGACCTCCTTTCTTCAAAACAAACTGAAATCGAGTGAAGAAATTATTTCTATTCTGTAAATACATAAATCATTAATCACCACGACCAGAGATTCCTCTATTTTCAGAAAAGCAGCTCTGGGTCTGGGGAGGTGGCTTAGTAGTTAAAGTGCTTGTTGCGCAAACACAAGGACCTGACTTCCATCCCCAGAGCCACAAACAAGACCGGGTGTGGTGGCCTCGGGTTTGTAATCCCAGTGCGAGGAGACTGAGGTAGGGTCTCTGGGGCTTTTAGGCCAGCTCAACCAAATCAGCAAGTTCCAGGTAAAAAGTAAGACCTGCCTTTGCCATCCATGCTCACACATTGTGTGTGTGTGTGTACCTTCACAGAGAAACAGTGGATATGATTATAATTCAGATATCTGAAAACTTATTTTTTAATAGATTTCTGTGACCTTATTAAAATTTTTTTGTGCTTGAGTTGGTCAATGTAACAGAGACGCAAACATGAAATAGCATAGATGGAGCATTTGCATAAAACCGTTTAGGAGTTACCTACTGAACTTCTAAGAGCAAGTAGAGAACAAGCTTAAAGGTCATGATTAAAATCCTTCTGGGAAAACTGTTGTGATCTTTGGCGAGATTAAAAATCACATTACTGAAATGTAGCCTGCAGCCTTCAACACCTTCAGCCAGCATTAAACTGCTAACCGGTGAAATAAGTGTGTTGAGTTGGATTCTAATTCTGATATGTCCGACAGAGCTGAATTGCAATGTGTGTCTTCTTTATGGGACGGCATCGTGCTATTAAAATGCCTTCTTATTTGTTAGTATTTCTCTTTAATTTTGAGGTTCACTGAGATAGAACTCTGCTCGAGTCCACTCCATACTCAAAGCCGTCACATACACACTGGTTTGCTTGTCATCTTAAGTCAGATGGAGGTCACAGAGGCTGAGCATTTTCCCAAGGGTTCCTTGGCCCATTTTGAGAATCCCATAGGTGCTTCCCATAGGTGGAGGATGTTCTCCACCGTTGTCCTGAGTACTCCAAATAGACTTGTATCTCAAAACGTGACCTCCCATATACGGACATACTTTTTATCTTGAGACAATGGTGACTCTATAGCCCTAGCTGGCCTCAAATCTGTGATCCCCTTACCTCAGACTCCAAGTTCTGGGATCATAACATGTACCAGAGCAGCTTGCTTAGGAACCTTTTAGAAATGACATCCCCAGTTCTCAGATTTCGCTTCCTTTAGAAGGAGTGAATCATGAGGGGAAAACTGGAACTTTTTCCTCTTCAGGCATAATAGAACCTCTCGATTTGCAAATGGAATTCCCATTCTGACCACTGCACCATAAGCTATGAATGACCAAGCTAAAACCACCAGGCTAAGTCAGGCCACTGACTGGATTTTAATGCAGCTCAAAGTGCTAAGAATGCTTCTCAAAACTATCATTTTTTAGTAGCTGAAAATACCAAAATATAAATCATAACGTGTGATGTAGAGATCAAGTTGACCAGTAGTGAATGGTTTGTGAATTGTGGACCTGGAGTGATATGTCAGTATATGTTCATCTATTGTAACAAACGTACCACTCTGAAGGGGGGGGCTGTATGCGGAGGTAGGGAGAATATGAGGTCCCTCTGTATCTTCTGCTTTATATTGTTGTGAACCTAAAGCATCTCTAAAAGTTAGAGGGATGTGTGTGTGTGTGTGTGTGTGTATTCAAGTTTAGTTCCATTAGTCAGGTTTTACCGGGGCATACCTGTAGTCATTCATTTATTATTGTCTTTGGTGGTTTTTACATTACAAGAGTTAAGCAGCTGAGACCAGAGAGGCAAGCCTGCATTATTTACTCTGTGGGGAGATGCTTCCCGACTGTTCATTTCATTGCATCTGGTACTGACTAAGCTACTGGATGAAAGTGTTGTTTCCGGTGTGAAACTTCCAGAATTCTCCTCTCTTACATTTAGTAGCTGTGAGACATTCAACAAATACTTGGTCCTGTTAGCCCCTGATTATTCATCTTTCCATTGGGATAGCCCGTCTTGTAGGATACGTACAGGACCAGTTTAAGGGTAAACCGGACTAGTAAAGCACCAGCAGGTCAGTAATTATTCATTTTTAGTTTCCCTCTAGGCTCTGGGTGAGTTCTCTTAGGTGGTTACCTGCTTTATTTACATGAAAGGTGAATGAAAAACAAGAAATAAAATGGAGGGTGTGGCTGCTCCTGAGATGGAGGGTTCCATTATAGATCTAAGGGAGAATGCAGGCTCAGTCAGAGGCAGAGACACAGGGAGAGTCCAGAGCAGACAGCCAGCAGACTGAGCTGGGCTCAGTGAGGAGGGCGGGGGTTGGGGGGAGAGGGAAACCAGGAGCAAGAGGGTCAAACGGGTGAAAAGGCCGGTGTAGCCAAAATGGCTGGGTCATATAGAGAAAGCAACTGGGAGAAGGGCAGCCCAGCGTAGTCCCTGGGCTGGAGAAGATTAGGGTAGGGTTGGGTGTGCCATCCAGGAGGACTGCTGGGGAAACCTGGTGGCGGCAGGCACCTCAGCTGTTTGTCCCAGGTTTGAGACCTAACAGAAGGTACTTTTGTCTTCTCAGAAGCCATCTCCTTACCCCGCCTTACCTAACAGGTAGTGGTTCTTGTGTTCCTTGTTTCAGTTTTACCATCGAGTCTGTCCGTCTTGATCAAAGTTAGTTCCAGGGGAATAGCTGCCCTCAGACCTGCATCTGCCACAGTAGAAAGTGAGCTGCTCCTCCCTCAGCACAGCAAGAAGCCGGCAACACCAGGTTTCTGGCCAATTCCTATGCACTTCCAAGCATGGATCTAAGTTCCCTGCTGTTTCCTAATCCACAGAGTAACTATTGACAGCACGTTCCTATTTTAGCTTAACTCCCACGGGATCATTGAGTTCTAGACTAAAACTGTAGTTGAATCATTGTTCTGAAGATTTCAAAAGATTTCCTGTTCTGTAGGGAAAAAAATATTATCATTATTAGCCAAAACATTCTGGAGTGTCTGGAATTCCAAAGGCCCAGAGTTGCTCATCTTACAAGACACGTGATAAGGCTTTGTTATTTTAGTAAAAAAATGTTTAGATTCAACAACAAAGCTGTCATTGTGTGCTCTATTTTTTTGGACATAAACTCTCCACCTTTGCAGCCCAAGACAATGGGCCTTTTAAAACTCTTTGAACTTTTAAAGTTCTTTGACTCGATTAAGTATTTATTTTGTACGAATAATTTTGTTTTTTTCTGGGGGCACTTTTGTGAAGGAATAGTATCAATTACATGACACAGAAGTTTGGGAACTGAAATAATTCACAGACATAACTGAGTGTGAATGAAACTCTTGATGCTTTTCCTTCCTTCCTTGTCACTCCATAAACAAAAATGTGTTGGTAAGCCGTTTCCACTACATCTCATTCCTGGAAAGTTTAAAGAATTCCTTTTTCACCTGCTAGAGTTCAGAATCTCAGCTTCTCGACCACTCCTTCCTCTCCTTCCTGTGGGAGTAACTGTTGTGTTTCTGAGCTACCTTGGAAACTAAAGCAACATTTGCCAGAACTTGAGGCTGGAGGAGGATTCAAACAGTTCTTGGCTTTTAGGTGTCTTGGTTTTATTCACCAACAGTTTCTCAGAGGGTAGAAATCTCACAAATGGGATGAGGGAGGCCCAGGGGAGGCCCAGGGAGAGGTGTGTGTTGTGGTGCCAAGGCTAGTATTTACTTTCGGAGTGATGGAAGGTCTCAGCAGATCCTAAATCTAGTGTCCCATTTGCTGAAACAAAAGAAAATGTGGCTGTTTAAAGAAGACTGAGTGTGGTGAACAAGTTAGACAGGAGGTGTGATCATTCCTCTCCCTGAGACCAGGATCTGTGATGGAAAGAAAAAGTTAACATTAGCCTGGTAAATTTGTATTCGATTCCTTTGAAATCCAAGTTGGAGTTTAAATGTCCAATCTTCCTTCTGTGGATGAGAGCCCACTAAATGCTTTCCCTGTGTGTCTAACCAGAAGTACTTTTTCTGGGGCTTGGTTTGGACTTCCATAACTGGGGAGGTATCTGTGAGGAGTTAGGTTATACAGGGATCCCAATTCACTTCCTCTCTGCCCCACCAGAGTGCTGTCGACTGTTGAGCAATTCAGTTTGGGTCTGGAGGGAGCGCAGCTAGGTGTACCCAGCTGGAGCCAGTGGCAGCAGAGGCCCACAAGGCTGCGACTGTGAGCTTTCGGGTACTGCCTAGACACCTGGAAGATTGATGTCTGGGGATTTATCAAGATGCTTGGGAAAAGGTAAATCTTCTAGACTTGGACCCTTGGGGCTGGGAGAAGACATGTGACAGAGGTGCTTTCTCTGGATAGGAACATGAACTGTATGTGCAAACATCCCCTCTGGAGCCTGAGGCTCAGTGCACAGACTCCTCTCTGAATGTCTGTGAGGTGAGCAAGGCCCCCCCTCTGCTGGACTAACCAGATTCTCTGTCTTCTTTCTCTTGCCCTGTAGGAAGCTGTCCCCCAGGGCCGGTCCCTGAGGGTGTGATCCGAATCTACAGCATGAGGTTCTGCCCCTACTCGCACAGGACACGGCTGGTCCTCAAGGCCAAAGGCATCAGGTGAGAAACGGGGGCCAAGTGCGCCCCAAGCAGGTGGAGCACCCGTCATCTCCAGGGGGTATTTAAAGTTTCGGGCTCCTAAAAGGGACCCCTCTTCCCTTTCTTCTGAATGACTCCAGTGACTGATTTTTGGGCAGGCTCTCCTGAACTGCTGAATTCTTTTCCAAATCAGGTTTTCTTGAACTTTTAGACCAGGCAGAATAAGCTGGGTGATGCTGTCTGGTGAGCTGGCGCTCTCCCATCCATTGTTGGTTTAGGAAGGCATAGCCAAGCTCACTCAGGCTTCCTAACTGTCCCAGTGTAGCCCAGCCTCTGCGGCAAGCAGCTTGGGTTAACTCTTCTATTTACTTCTTCATGTCCACCATTTTCTTATTTGTTCTGTCTTTCTACCGTATCTTCCCCTCTCCCCCACTCAATGGCAATCATACAAAAAAGGAGTTTAAGAGAGTAGGGTCTGCCGCATTCGAGGACTAGAGCAGAGCCTGGCACACAGTAGGTATTAAACAAGTGTTTGGTGGGCTTGGGGATGCAGCTGAGTTAATAGGAGTCGCTTACTCAGCATTCGTGAACCACTGATTCACACCCAGCTACCACATAAAACCAAGTGTGAGGACCATCCCCGTGATCTCAGAACTTGGGGGTTTGGGGGTAGAGTCAGGAGGATCAGAAGGTCAAGACCACTCTTGCTTGCATACCAACTTCCAGATCAGCCTTGGCCACATGAGACCCTGTCACACACACACAGAAAACAAGTGTCACACTGGCCCCCCGGCTCTGGGATTGGGAAGCCATAGGAGTGACATCAGAGTTTCAGTTCACGTCAATGAATAGAGAGATCACTGTGGAGATATTTTAAATGAAATGATGTTAACTCTGCCTAGATGCATATGTATAACACGCGTTTCTGGATTCTTTCCTCTTGCTCAAACCTATCTGGCCCTATGGTTACCTGTTCTTTGTTCGTTTGTCTCTTTTTAGAAAAACCAGAGCAGTATGATGTGTTGCTCATTTGGGGACAAAGTGGCAGCTTAGGAAATGATGCAAATATTTGTGGGGTTTCTTTGTTTTTGAGACAGGGTCTTATATAGCTCAGGCTAGCCACAAATACATTATGTATCTGAGGATGATCTCGAACATCTGGTCCTTCTGACTCTTCCCCCAGAATGTTGGCATTACAGCAAGCATCACTGTGCCTGGTTTATGTGATGCTGGGGATGGAGCCAAGGGCTTCCTGTGGCTAGGCAAGCACTTTACCAACTGACCTACAGTGCCCAGCCCCATAACTTGTTTTTCAGAGTGGAGTTTCTCAACCTTAGCACCGCTGACTGACGTTTGGGGCCAGGTGATTCGTTGCTGGGGAGAAGGAAGGAGGTTGTTCCTGTGCATCCCAGCTTACCTGTCAGTGTCCTCCCCTCACCCATTTGGAGTATATCCCACTCCCAGGGTGAAAGCCAAAATGTCCCTAGATATCGATATGCATTCCTCAGATGGGGAGAGGTGGAGTTATCCTGTTGAGAACTTTCACTTTGAAGAGTGTAGCCATTTGTTTCCTTTAATTGTTTAAAACATGTAACTGGCAGCTTTTCTGGTTTTGAAACCTCTGATAGTGAGTAGGGAGGACTGGAAAGTGATCGCTTGCTAGTGTACTGGACACTCCCAGGCGCTGCACATGATCAGGGTTTGGATGCTGCACTGTGGAGACGGGCACAGTTATCACCTCCTTACAGCGATGGACACTGAGCACAGCGAGGGGAAGGAACCAGCTAATATCAGCTTGACCATACACCTTGATGTGGGTTTTGTATTAACTGTTAACATCCACCAATGTCTGTTCAACCTGTAAATCACACACTTGCGTTTTTGTGGTTGTTAATGTTTTGGTTTGGAGATGAGGTCTCACTGTGTAGCATTGACTGTTCTCTAACTTCCAGTCCTTCTGCCTCTTTCTGCTGGGCCCTGGGGTTAGAGATCTGAGCCACCGAGTTCTGCTGGATTTGTGCTTTCAAGCTTTTAAGCTCTCTGTGCTGTGCTTGAGTGTTTGAGTAGATGGACAGGCAGCCTGGCTCTCCTCTTCAGCTACGGTTAGGAGACGCCATCAGGCATGGGAGTCAATCACAGGAAAGGATAACAGGAGGACATAGGAAACACCTAACACCCCGGCAGGAGTGAACACAAGCGTGTTCCATATTTTACACCAAACTCCAGCATCTAAGAAACAGTTCTAAGTACGAGTGTTGATGTCATAGCTGCTCCTGTTTTCGAGGTGAGCGTCTGTCTTTATGCTTCTCACCTGGAGTCTTCTTTTCCCTTTGTTTTTGTTTGTTTGTTTGTTTTTAAAGGCATGAAGTCATCAACATTAACCTGAAAAACAAGCCTGATTGGTACTATACAAAGCATCCTTTTGGTCAAATTCCTGTCTTGGAGAACAGTCAATGTCAGCTGATCTATGAATCTGTCATTGCTTGTGAGTACCTGGACGATGTGTACCCAGGAAGGAAGCTGTTTCCATATGACCCGTATGAACGAGCTCGCCAGAAGATGTTATTGGAGCTATTCAGTAAGGTACGATATTCTGAAGAGCCTGGTTTTGCTTTGTGTGTGTTTCCCCAACTTCAGTCTGTTCCAGAATCGGTCATGGCCTGGTTCCATTTTGACTCTGTGAGCCTCTGAAGAATAACTCACCTGGGATTAGAGTCAGGTGTAACCACTGACATTAACAGTGGGAGGCGGAGACTCAGGAGGCTAGCAATGGCCTGGATTGCTAATCCTTTAAAAGGAGCGTTTCTCAAGCTCCAGGTAGGAAATATTGGAGAGAATTTATGCCTGGGAGACGGTTGTCTTGTCAGCGGGGCGAGAATGACAACAATTTAGGAAACAAGAATACTGAGCAGTTGTTGATAATGAGAGGAAAAGTGACAGAAAGGTTAAGACCTTTGAAAATAAATAAAAGATTCAGTCCAGGGCTGCGGATATGAAGTGCTTGATGCACAGCAGGAGGACCTGGTTTTGGATCCTCAGTATAACATAAAGAGCCAGCTGGCAGTGCCTTCCGCAGTCCCCGTGCTGGGAGGGGCGCAGGGGGATCCTTGGGACCTGCTGGTCAGCTAGTCTACCTGAATCTGCAAGCTCCAAGTTCACTGAGGGATTCTGTCTCAAAAAATAAGTCATTTGCCACCAAGCCTTATGACCCATCTCCTGGACACGTATGGTGTAAGGGAAGGACTGACAACTGCAAGGTTTCCTCAGACCTCAGGCATTTGGTGGCATTTACGCATTCATGCCATGCGTGCACGTGCGCACCCACACATAAACACACACAGTAAATCAATACACGAAGAAATAAATGTTTAGAAAATAAGATGCAGCATGATTGAGGAGAACACCCACTGTGACCCCACTGTTGACATCTGGCATGTGTGTGTGTGCGTGTGTGCACACACACGCACACACACAAATGTGCACACACCCAAACATGCATGTACACACACACACAAATGTGCACACACCCGAACATGCATGTACACACACACACACACACACACACACACACACGTACTGAACTTAATGGTGTTAATAGCTGACATATATTGAGAATCAGGATGTTTCAAACTTCCTCTGACTATTGGTTCCTTCCTGACTGCTCATGGAGGTGGGTATTGTTCCTGGTTCAGTTTTTCACCTAGGACACTGAAGCTGAAAGTGTCCCACCCTAGAGTGTATTACAGCACAGAAGTAACTGAGCAAGCAGGGGCCAGTGAGAATGCTGCTAAAGCCTTAGCTATGGCAGCTGCTGTCCCAAGCGGTTCCGGACCCCCCCCCCCCCCGGACCCCTCAGAGCCTCTCACCAAGGACGGGACCTCTGCATTGGCCAAGTCCTCCTGTGCTGGAGTTGGGAAGCTTCGCTGCTTTTCAGTCAGAGTGGGGACAATTCTCACAAGCATCTTGACTAAGAACCTGTGTCTTCTGACTAGGTCCCAAATTTAAGCAAGGAGTGTCTGGTAGCGCTGAGATGTGGAAGAGACTGTACGGATCTGAAGGTTGCCCTGCGTCAGGAGTTGTGCAACATGGAGGAGGTACGGTTTGTGGGGGGGTGTCTGTCCTGTCAGAGGCAGTGGGCCGAGCTATGCAGTGTCTCAAACCTAGTCTCCTGGCATCACCTGCTGGCAGACATCCTGCTAAGCCTCGATGTGGTCCCTTTCTAGTCATCCGACTGTGACCTTCATCAGATGCCTGCATCCCTGACCTTCTCTGAAATGATTCTTGACAAGTTGTCCAGGACGAGCAGTGAATTTGTTCTTTCCTGGCATTGTGACATTCCCTAAGTATTTCTGCAGGGCTCTGCCAATGAGGCCGAGGCATTGGTTGGAGGCTGTGCAGGACCTAACTGCTGTAAGCTTGTCTGCTAATGGTTTACTCTCTAACATCATGAAGCCAGAGGGAGGAGGTCCAGGACTGTCTCCACGCTTCCTCAGGAGGCTAGCAGGGACTGAGGCTCCTTGTTCTGTCTGTCACATTGAGTGCAGGGTTTCATCGCTCGTAACAAGATGGCAGCTGGAATGTCTGCCATCGCTTTCCACTCAGACTCTAGCAAAGAGAGTGGAAGAGAAGAGTGGCATGTCTGGAGCTCCTTAAAGGACTCACCCAGGAATCCAGTGCATGCTTTCACCTTGGTGGCCAGACTTTAGTTGTCAGGTCGTGACCATCAGCACCGGAGGCTGGGGGGCGGGGGCGGGTTATTGTTTAGTCTGGACACCCTGGATAAAATCAGTGTTGTGTGTTTTAGAAAATGAAGGTAGATGCTGACGGACAAAGAACAGTCCTTGTCAGCAGCGTCTCATGTACGGGAGGTGTTTCCACCCACCCATCCTGAGGGTCATCTCTGGGCTGTGACTTCCTTTACCTCTGGTCTACAAACCGATGAGTTCTTTATGAGAGAGCTCGTTCTCCCGTACAGCCACAAAGACTATCTTCATTCCTTTCAGAGACGGGTACTCATTCCTACTCTTCCATTTGATTTTATCAACTAGAAGCAGATAAAATTCACACACATACACACACACACACACACACACACACACACACACTTCATTTCCAGTCTTGGAGATGTACAGTTGCAGTAGTTTTGTAAGATGACTAGTAAGAAATATTAACTTTTGTCTTGAGGCCTCAGACTGCCAGGACCCCACACCCTGAGAGGCAGTGGATGGTAGGGTCTTGATTTTGTGACTTGGCTGGATTTCTAGGCTCTTGGGCAGGAGGAATCCTGGGTGATGTTTCCACAACCACTTCACCCACACTAACACTTCCTTTAATCACAGCTGAAGAAGACATCTAATAAGAGTCTTTGCCTAGAAAGGGCAAGCGCTTGCTTTAAAGGGAGGAGTTGAAACCCTTCTGAGTACAGAATTTTTAATGTCTCTGTATTTAATGGTGGTTGTTATTGTGTGTGTGTGTGTGTGTGTGTGTTGTGTTGTTGTTGTTGAGACAGTGCCTCACTATGTAGCCCTTGAACTCTCAGAGACCTGCCTGTCTTTGCCTTTCAAGTGCTGGGATTGAAAGCATGTGCCACCACACGCAGCTGCCATCTTATTTTAAAGATCATGTGAGCTAATCCCGTCTGGCCTGGTTACTGTCTCACAGACTCATGAGTACGGATCAGACTAAGGAGCCGAAAACAAAACACTTAATTCAGAGATCACTAAAAGTGCATTGTGGTTGTTCTTGATGCTCTTGTCCACGAAGTTAGGATGCAGGCGTGCATCTCTTGGGCTCCCTCTCAGGACACTTAAGCCAGCGTTCTGTGCCACACACTAAGATGCGGGTGGTGGTGCTCTGTGCGCCCTGGCTCACTGTGCTGCGCCTCATCCTGCAAGGGCCAACAGTACCAGAAGTTGATAACTCAGAAGGGCTGCTCGCTAGTGGAGGCTGTAAACTGACCAGGAGTACAAACGTTACAGACACCCAGAAGGCTCAGTGATAAGACGGAGAACAGCTGTTAAGCCTGTTTTGACCCAAGGTATGCTGAGTGCTAATCTGGAGACGTTCGGGAGAGAGCTGATGTGTGTGAGAGCAGAGAATCCGGGTACAGGGCAGACCACGGTCAGAAGGCTTTTCACCTGTGCCAAGGAATTTCCCTTTGAGCCCTAAGTTGTGTGGAGTAACTGCAGACTATGAGGCAGGAGAATGATCTTTTCTTTCCACCAGGACCTCAGTAATAGGATTGGAAAGGGGACTTCATTGGAGAGGTTTCAAGGGCCCAAGATAAGATGAACTTTGGTGGAGGTGCTATCCAGGTTGATGTGGAAATTTATCATGAGTAAACAGGACGCTACTGGGACTCGGAGAGAAAGTCGTTTGTTTTGTTCATGATGTTTCGGGACAGGTATGGGAGACAGAGCTCAGGAGAGTGATATGTAGGCCGCACTAGGCCTTGGGAATGGTTTCCTAGCTAGCAGTGTTAACTAGAAGAGACTGGACCATACAACCAGCAGGGTGGTCATAAGCATGTCATAACACTCCCTGGAAAACAAGTGAAAAAAGTCAGAACAAACCCCTGATTTGTAACACAAGCTGATGGCAGGAAATCCACTCAGCAAAGCTGTCTCCAAACTGAGATAGCTGAGTGTCCCGCTGTTGGCCAGCCTTGGCACTGACAGCTCCCACTCATACCTCGTCAGGCCTGCTGAGGGTTCGGCTTTGTTTCCGTGGGTTCAGAAGGGAGTTTTCCCCACAGAGTGTTAGTAAGAACATTAGCTGCAACATACAGGATGTCAGACACTGAGAGCGCCAGTGGGGATGAGCAATACCGGCCGTTCCTCCAAATGTTAATACACAGATCCTCGGTCCTAAAGTATTGACTCTAGGAGATCCTAGTGCAATTAAAATTTAGAATAATTCCGACAGAAATGCCCCTTAATTTACGTTAGCACGTTCCTGTTTTTTTTCTGTTTGTTTATTTTTTGTTTAGTTGTTTGTTTGCTTGTTTGTTTTTGAGACAGAGTCTCATTATGTAGCTCTGGCTGTTCTGGAACTCACTATATAGACCAAGTTGGCCTTGGACTTAGAGAGATCTGCCTGCCTTTGCCACCTGAATGCCGGGACTAAAGGCATGGATCACATTACCCTTCAAGTGGCTTTCACAAACAAGATTTTGTGGGAGCTGAAAAGTTATTAAACACACATGATATTTCTGAGAGGCAAATAATCTGATATTCTCTCTCTCTCTCTCTCTGTGTATCTGTGTGTGTGTGTGTTTGTGTGTGTTTGTGTGTGTTGATGTATGGAGGTGTAGGTGGGCTTATGCATGGAGGTCAGCGGACAGTTTCAGGTATTTGTTGGAAACAGAGTGTCTTAGGGTTTTACTGCTGTGAACAGACACCATGACTAAGGCAACTCTTACAAGGACAACATTTAATTGTGGCTGGCTTACAGGTTCAGATGTTCAGTCAGTTATCATCAAGGCAGGAACATGGCAACATCCAAGCAGGAGGAGCTGAGAGTTCTACATTTTCATGTAAAGGCTGCTAGGAGAAGACTGGCTTCCAGGCAGCTAGGACAAGGGTATTAAAGCCCACACCCACAGTGACACTCCTATTCCAACAAGGCTACACCTACTCCAACAGGGCCACACCCTCTAATAGTGCCATGCCTGGGCCGAGCATATACAAACCATCACACAGAGCCCATCTTTATTTGTCCTCTGCCTTGTATGCCGGGTCTCCCACTGCACCACAGTAGCACTGTGATTACGGACACATGCTACACTCAGCTTTGCTGGTCCTGGGATTTGATCTCAGGTTCTTATGCTTGCACCCACTCAGCCATCTCCCAGCCCAAGGTCAAGATTTTAATGCAAATATGACATGTGATAGCCTAGCAAGAGACCCAATTTGCATTTTGTGGCCCTGTGCTCCAGGTGATCTTTCTCTTTCAAAATATGACATGCATACTCTTTTTATTTAAAATGATCTTTAAAAAGTCCAGTTTCCTGAGTGTGGTGTTGGTCTGGGTCTGAAATTCAGCACATAGAGGACAAAGGTAAGAGGGTCACAACTCTGGGCTAGCCTGGGCTGCGTAGTGATATGCTGTCTCAGAAAACAGCAGCAGCCATGAAGCTTTTAAAAATATAAAGAATTCACTTAAGGCTATATAAATAATATAAATAAAATCTTCTGCTTTGATGATCAGACCAACAGCCTGCCATCCTGTCTGCCTACCTTAAATGCTGGCATGTGTTTTATGCTGTCGGGATGCTGTAGACTAAGCTTACATCAAACCTGCCTCTGAGGTTCAAACCTAGCTATTCTTGAGTCATTAATCTTAAGATGTTCACCCTTTTTAGTTTTCCTTTGTGTGGTATTGACTTCACCATGTCAGCATCACACTCTGCTGGGCTCTGGCTTTCTTTTCTTTGTGGATTCCCGCATGGCAGGGCCTCTCAGGGTGTCTTTGCTTGGACCAGTGCCTTATTCAGAACCTTTTCATGGTGGTGGTTGTTAAATCCAACCCTGTGTAGTGCAGAAGATTGCTGGACTGGCCAGATATTTTTCTGATGCTTTGGATTTTCCCTCATAGTCTGTGATCTAGCCATAGCCATTAGGCATCAGCTTTGCATTCTGGCTTTGGTTGGTCCCTTTCTAGCTGTTACCAACCTTAATGGAGAGAGGCTTGAAACAGCAGGGAGGGAACCAGGGCCACAGGGCACTTCATGGTTCAGCCTCTTGATGTCTGTTGGCTTGCTTTGTATTCCTGTCCTTTGCAGTCTCACTCGGAGTTTCCCACAGGGCCCAGTTGCATGCCTTGTGTGCACTGTTTGCGGGAGGGGAGGCTTGTATCTTTGTAGTGTGTGTACCACTCAGGAGCTCCCGTGGTTAACTGAATTTAAATTTCACCCATAATTTTAACATCTCTCCTTCTCCTCTCTCCCTCCCTCCCCTCCCTCCTTCCCTCCCCCCTCTCCTTGTTCTCTCTCTCTCTTCCTCCTGCCCTCCCTACAAGTTTTTCCACACAGGGTCTCACTGTGAGGCCCAGGCTGACTGCAAACTCTTCATCCCCTTGCCTCAGTGTCTCTAGTTCTGGGGTTAAAGGCATGTTCTACCATGCGCAGCCACAGTGTTAATGTTTAATTCGCCTTTTCTTCTTGTCGAACAAAAAAGACATTTTAGCCCAACAGTTTGTGCTATTTGGTTAAGTTTGCTATTTAAGGTAAATGTCTTAAGAGCTTGTCTATCTCCTTTTTAAGATTCTTGTTAATTTATAGAGTTCCATTTAAAGAGTTTTTCATATCTAAAGGTTATTTGACTATCTTTTTAAACACGTTTGGTTTTTGTTTGAACTTTTGAGCCAGTTTATGGAAGTGCAGCATCTGTAAATACTGAGCAGAGTGTCCCCTGCTGAGCTTCCTTCCTTGCTCTCAGGCACAGGACGCCCTCGGCCTCCTCAGAGATTCCAGGGTTATTCACATGGATTTGCATCCACCACCCATTGCTTTATAAGGATTTGGTTAGCTTATTGCCTAACTTTTATGAAATATATTTTGAATAAGAGAATTGAGCCCATTGAAAGGATGGCCGCTGAGGACTTTCAGAGTCCCATCAATTCCTAAATGATGACGGATTGTATTTTGTATCTTCGTAGAATAACATGGTCCTAAGTGGTAGCCATGCACGGGGAGGGGCGGGGCCTACTCGAGACCCATGCTCAGCCTTCTCCCTGACACAGCAGGGATTCTCTTTCCAGGAAATCTCACTGTGGCAGGAGCTCAGCTGTGGCTGTCCTGTTCTGTGTGGCAAGGGCCTGGAATTTAAAACCCTGAACCCGCCTCTTATTTTCTTACAAACTCCAAAGACTTCTGTCCCAGATTCAAGTTCTTTGCTCTTGGTATGGGCTTGACTCTACCGCTCCTGTCCTGGAGGGTGCCTTTGTGCCTTAGCAGAAATGGGTGCCTGTGTATGACTTCCAACTCTTAAGAACTCTTCCCCTCCTCCACCAAGTACAGAGTGTCCGGCAGGAGACAACACTGCTTGAGGACCAAGACCAAGGATTCCCTGGTGATGGGCTAAATGACGTCAGTGTAAGGCAGGTGGCTGTCGCAAGGGTGGAAGATCCAGACTGAGCGTTTTAGAATGCTTGGTTTAAAGAAGTCTGGATTAGCTTTTAAAAATCGCTCTTCTGTTACCAAAATAGGGTGGTGTGTGGCCCAAGAAGTAGATTCTCCCAGTTCTGTAGCACTTCTTTCTCAAAAGCTTCACAGGTTTCTTTTTTTCCTCCTCTTTTAACTGAGAGAAGGGAGCTTTGGCCAGTTCCACACCATCGATGGCCACCAGGGGGAGCCCCACACACTTCTCCACTTGTGTTTCCTGCTGCTATTCCTCCTTTCCCACGCTAGGCGGAGCCCTAGTGTGAGGTGAAGTGCTTCATGGAACTGTGCATCTTCACAGTCCTTTCTCCTCTGTTGCTGTCTCTCGCTGGGTACTCCTTATCCCACCTCTACTCTTCCTCTTCAGTCACTGGGGAAAAGAGAACCCATTTTGTATTACCATTTTTAAAATGTTTACTTATTTATATTTTATTCATTATGTGTATATGTATAGTGTGCGCGCGTGTGTGCGTATGTGTGTGTGTGTGTGTGCGTGTGTAAGTAGACACAGGTGGTGATCAGAGGATAGCCTTTGGTGTTGGTCTCACCTCCACCTTGTTTGAGGCAAGGGTCTCTGTTTGCTTTCCTCTGTCTTAGTCAGATTGTCTTCCCACGAGCTTCCCCAGATTCAGCCTATGTCTGCACAGGAGGGCAGGGATCACAGATGGTCCTGTTACTCTGTCTGGCTTGAACTACTTTTTCGTGGGTTTTTAGGATTTGAAATTAGGTCCTCAACGCTAGCATGGCAGACACCTTTATCTGCTGATCCGTCTCTGCAGCCTCAGAATATATTAAAGTCGATTCTTTTGAGTGCTCCAAACACCAGAATACCCTTTGCAGGCTCTCCCTGTGCCAGTGTCTAGGATTCGAAGAGTGGTGTAGTATTGTGTCTCTGAGAGGTACCAGATTTACATAGAAGGGAACTTCTGTTGAAGATCTAAAGACAGCTGCCAGTCTCCAGGGAGGCCAAGCCAGGGTGTCTAGTGTCACCCCGGGGGAAGCTGTAAAGGAATCTATGGGGAGGCCACTGCCCATAGATTTCCAGTGCAGAAATTTTCGGCTGGGCTGTACACCAATCCCTTTTTCTACATTCTGTGACCAAGTGTGTGACAAGGAGTAGCTTAGGAGGAAGGGCTTATTTTGGCTTATGATTTAAGGGTACTGTCAATCATGGCAAGCAAAACCTAGTGGCAGAAGTAGCCTGCAACCATGGAAGCAAAAACCCAAGGCAGCTTGTGCACTTCTGCGGGTGACAGGACGAAGGACCAAGCTACTGAGACGTTGGATGGTCCTTGACTGTTTTAGAACATGATGGCAGTTGAGAGCCTTCCACTCTGTTCTTTCCCTTCTGTCTTAGTTACTTTTCTGTTGCTGTGATAAAACACCATGACCAAGGCAACTTGGAAGAGTTTATTTGCTGCTTACAGTTCCAGAGATTTAGGAGTCTGTGGCCATTATGATGCCATGGCGGCAGGCAGGCAGGCAGGCAGCAGGCAGCAGGCAGGCAAGCAGGCAGCAGGCAGCAGGCAGGCAGCAGGCAGCAGGCAGCAGGCAGCAGGCAGCAGGCAGCAGGCAGCAGGCAGCAGGCAGCAGGCAGGCAGGCAGGCAGCAGACAGCAGACAGCAGGCAGACAACAGGCAGACAACAGGCAGGCAGGCAGGCAGGCAGGCAGGCAGCAGGCAGCAGGCAGCAGGCAGCAGGCAGCAGGCAGCAGGCAGCAGGCAGCAGGCAGCAGGCAGGCAGGCCTGTTGAAAGCGTGTTTTCCTTACAGTCCACCTATGTGGGTTGATTTGAGAGTTTTGTTTTATTGTAGAATGTTAATGATATTGAGTATCACGAAGCTTGAAGAATTTGAATAAAAGAAAAAAGTATGGTAAAGGCAACGTGGGATACAAGGAAACCCACTAAACAGCATTGCTTTGTCTAGCCCCAGCTCCGAAGCCACTGAGTAGGCAAGCAAAAGACCAGTGGGGTCTGCAGCACCCCCTTTAGTGTAAAGAATATGTGGGAGATGAGGTCACAACCCCAGCAAGTGGAGTTTCTAGTTGCTGGATTTTAGCATCTGGCTCACACTTTCATGTCCCTAGAAAATGGGCAGGTGTTGGCTTGAGGCAGGGCATCCCAGCTCCAAGCTCACCTGATCTGGAGACAGCCTAGGACTTGGAGGCGTCTGTCTTAGGCTAAGGGAGGGGCCAGGTTGCCTCTTCCTGAATTGCCCTTTCCAAAGTCTCCAGTCAATGAGCCATGTTTTTTGTTCAGTGTTGAAGAGAGGCAGAGAGCAGGATGTGGTCAAGACAGGCCCTAAAGGAATTGAAGGAAGCATTGTGGGTAGGGAAGAGGTGGATTCTTGAAAATAGGAGACTGGCGAGCTAGTTCCCCTTCCTTGTAATTAATATATTTATATTTAGCATCTGCAACACACGTCAGCAAACGCACAAATTAACTGGTCATTGTTCTGTGTATATTTCTAGATTCTTGAATATCAGAACACTACCTTTTTCAGCGGAGACTGTGTATCCATGATTGATTACCTCGTCTGGCCCTGGTTTGAGCGGCTGGATGTATACGGACTGGCTGAGTAAGACATCTGATTACGTCATTGCAAAGTCAATGAGTGCCAACTGTGGAGACGCGCTGAGCCCCACTGACTCCCCTGTGGACTGTCTTGGGATATTTGTGAAACAAAAATCAGGGCTGGATGCCGCTCATGCATGCTTCCTTGTCCAAATGTACCCATGTTCTTCTCCCACTGAGTTCAGGCTCACGTACCTACATATCTATGGCTAAGACTCTGTATGAAAAACCCCCTCCTCTCAGAGCTTCCGAGCGCACTTTCCCGGTGCGTCCACACACATGGTCCTGCTGAGTCTCTCGGCACATGCCACGAGCTTCAGTCCCATCTCATTCCCCCCACCCCATATAGAAATGTCCTTTGAAAACCATGTTTCAAAAGCAGCGCATATGTTATTCTTCATATAAACAAAGTAGCAACCACCTATCACACATGTGTCACACTCTAAGCATGTTTAAAGTGTGTCAGGGATATTTAAAGCGTTGTTACCTCAAAGCTCAGAGGTGACATTGGACATGTGTAGTGCTGCTGACTCAGATACCGGCCAGCCACGTCAGGCATGTCTGGCACCTCTAGTGTTTGGAAAGTAGCTCTTTGGCTCAGACATAAGACTGGGTGGTGAGACACACAGGTAACTTATAAACCCGTCTCCTTCCAAGGCAGAGTGGAGATCCCCAGATTCGTAAGACTCTACCAAGTGTCCTGGCCTCCAGCCCACCGGAGCATGTCTTACCTTAGGATGTCATCTTTCAGACCATAGACCTGAATTCCCCTGTCCATGTTTGAAAAGGCCTGAGTTTCAAGGGTTCATGCTTGCTTTAAATTTATTTTTAAAATGTTTAGGAAGCTACTCTCTTTTTCAAAGTCCTAAAAGTAAAATCTGCAAATGGCCTAAGACTGTTGGCTAGAGAGGTTGTCAGACCGTCAGTCAGCCATGAAATGAAGATTCCCCTGCCTCAGTTCACAAGTGTTCTGTCACTTTAACAGAAGCCACTGTGACAGTGTCAACAGTCACACACCATTCCAAGTAAGCCCCTTTCCTCAGTAAAGATCAGGCTTACTGGATAATAACCAAGCTTACATATTTCCCAAAGAAACCCATAATTTTGTTTCTTTCTAATCTACAGAGTAATAATCATCCCCTTTCCCAACCCCGTCCCGTTCCTGTCTTGCAGCTGCGTGAATCACACCCCGATGCTACGGCTCTGGATAGCCTCCATGAAGCAAGACCCCGCTGTATGTGCTCTGCACATTGATAAGAACATTTTCCTGGGCTTCTTGAATCTCTATTTCCAAAATAACCCTTGTGCCTTTGATTTCGGGCTGTGTCCCCCAGTCATACGGTAATCCAGGCATTGTCCAGGATTCTCATCATATCTGATTCTGCATCACAGGTCATCTTGGGGGGGTCAGTGTATGTGTTCTTTTTTTTTTGAGGTCCCTAATAAACATGGCTGTGTAAAGTCTAGTCTAATGTTCACGTGTCTGACTCCTGCAACCTGTAGCTCCTAATGATTCTCTAGCAAGCGCCCAGCATAGAAGCAGAGTTCGTTTTAGGAGCTAGTGTGACCCTGGCTGCCTGACCTCTGGCTAGTTTGATTTCCAGATTACTGGTCTCAGTGCTGGTATGAAGGGCCTGATTTGACAGACATTTGTCACTGTAGGTTGGAACTCTTCAAAGCTTCTCTGTTGAGAGGAAAGTTTGAGACGATGGGAAGAGAAAGAAGAGAGGGAAGAGGAGGGAGAGGAGGAAATAAGGAAGGAAGGAAAGGAAGAAAGGAAGAAACCACACCTACTCTATGATGAAATATGTTCTTTTAGCAAAGAAATCCCGTTGCCCCCATGGGAAGGCGTGTGTATCGTTCCTGTTCAAACTTTGGCCATGAGCCTGGGAGACACCCAAGGGTCTTGTGACTGGAAAGAATTCCAAAGCAGGAAATGAAACACCCATTTATCACCCTGGCCTAACTACGTCAGGATCTCACTGGTGTTGCCGGAGCTCAGGATGTCTCACAAAATGTTTTATTAACCAGCATCCTGTCTCCAAAACACCCTCCCCTCTGATCCAACTCACAGACAAAGGTGACTACTGGATACACGTCACATACACAGTTGGTTCCAACAGATGCTTCTGGTTGCTTGGTGGGCACCTAATCCTGGACCACGAAAGGATAACTGGTAGAAACATGAACCCTGCCCATGGAGATTTCCTATCTCTGCACCAGGTTGGCCCAGGTGTTAGCCTGGTGTACTGGAACTTGCCTTGCAGGGATGGTCTGGCTTGGCTTCTCTGTAGCCCTCTGTCAACTTGACCAGGCAGCACTGTGCCACCAAAGACGAGAAGACATCAGTTTGCCTGAGGTTGTCTGGTCTGCCAGCAGGAGACTTCAGCAGAAAGCTGCTGTTACCACTTCCTCTGGAGTGGATGTCACATGCTGTTTTAGCCAGTGTATCCTCATCAGCCTGTGGTCATTTGGCTTTGTTGTCTATTAAGATTCTTCCAGCCTTTCAGTAAGTATCCTCAGCCATGCCCAGAGGCCAGGCAACATCGAGTGTGATGTTCTGACTTCAATGTGCCCCTGCTTTGGACTTAGCCCAGAGCAACCCTCCCTACTCCTTGCATTTCAGCTGGCTCTGCCAACTGCTGGTTGTGGGTTTCTTTTCCACCGCATAAATAGTTACCAGGTGCTACTCCATGCCGGTTGGACAGGGGCAGGCCTGTTTGGCAAGGTGACTAGGCCTGCCAGAAAAGACGCCATGTGACAGGCAGTCTGTGGAATCATCTGTTCCGGATGTGGTGCCCCGTTGCCAAGGTACCCAAGCTACTGTAGAGTCTGTGAACCACGGTTTGCTGGGATCTGTGCTTGGAAGGAAGGAATCGCTCCTGTGCTCTCTACCAGGGCTGCTGGGTCTAGAGAGGCCCCAGCCTGTGACCAAACTGTTGGTACAGAAATGGTACATCTCTGGGTTAGAAAGGTGATGGTGCTTTCTTGAGGTGTCACAGTAATTTACAAAGCTTGAAGAACCTGGAAATATAGACTGCAGAGAGGTGCTTACGGGGCGAGGTTGCAGGCTGATGGCCTACAGCCTCATCTGGGGTTCGGATGCCCTTTGGTTGTGTGTGATTTCTGCGGGCTGCCAGGGTCCTGGTTTCCTTCACTACCTTGAACTTATTACTTCATGATTATTTTTGTTATTATTTTCCTTTTTTCTTTGTTTTTAAAATTTTTTTTTAAAATGTGTTTAAGTGTTTTGCCCTGTGTATGTATGTACACCAGGTACATGCCTGGTGCCCAAGGAGGAAGTCAGAAGATGCCATTAGATCCTGTGGGACCGGAGTTACATTGATTTCCCCCATGTAGGTGCACGCTCAGGTCCCCTGGAAGAGAACAAACACTTTCAACCTCTGGTCCATCTTCCCCGCCCCTCCTCTGGTTCTCCGTGTCACCTTCCTAACTCATACAGGAGATGAAGTCACGAATTTCTGGCTGAAACTAGGACTGAGCCTGAAGAATGTGAGACAAATCAATAATATTTCATGAAGAGTTCTTATGGGATTGGGGAAGAAAAAGATAAACATCAAACATTAATGATGGCAGGGCGGGGGTGGCTGGTCAGTAAAGTCTTTGCCGCACAGTACAAGGACCCGAGATTGGACGCCTAGCGTCTATGTACGATGCTGGACGTGGTGGGACATGCCTGTGATCCCTTCCGTGGAGACAGAGACAGCAGGGATCCAGGAGCTTGCTGACCAAGCTAGTCCAGCTAGATCTGTGTGCTTATGGATCAACAGGAGACTTTATCTCAAAAAAAAAAAAAAATAGGAGAACCGAGAGAGAGGCTCAGAGGTTAAGATCATTAGCTGCTCTTTCAAAGAACCTGGGTTCGATTCCCAGCACCCTCAGGGCAGCTCACAGCTACCTGTAACTCCAGTTCCAGGGGATCTGGTTCATTCTTCTGGCCTGCAGGGGCACGCACCACCTACATATAGTATACAGACATACAAGCAGGCGAAGCACCCATAGTCATAAAGATAATTTTTTATTGATTATTTTATTTATTTACATTTCAAATGTGGTCCCCCTTCCCGGTTTCCCCTCCACAAATCCCTCATTCCATTCCTCCTCCCCCCTGCCTCTATGATAATTTTTTTTTCAAAGGTGGAGGACAATAGAAGGAGACTCCCTGAGTGATCTCTGGCCTCCACGTGCGCACGCGCACATGTGTACCCCATATTCACAAACTTAAAAATGCAATCATGTGAAAAATACCAAGTCTCATGTTCTCCCACAGAGAACCATTTTTAACCCTGGATGTTAAGCTGGACTGAGTCCAGTTACATCACAGCTGGGGCGGAGGGCGCGCGTAGCCCACGGCGACAGCAGCGGTGGCTGTGATGGCAGAATGTTAGTTGAGATTCTTTCCGGGTCTCAGAGTCTCTGATCTCAGCCAGTAGATGAGGCTATGGATGTGAAAGGGGATTTGATCTCGATGGCACTTTCTTTTTCTCATGCCCAGCCCGCTGCATGTGGCTGCTGTCATGCCTTAAAGCTTTTCTGTCGGTGCAGGATGGCTTCTCTCTTGATATTTCCCCTTCAGTTCTCCAGTGCATGCACACCCTTTGCCATCGTCCTACCTCCCTATTCCCCCAACTCACCCTCCCCCATCACACACACACACACACACACACACACACACACACACACACTTCTGGACATATTTGCTACCTGAGGCAAGTATGCCAGTGAATAATGAGGTGCTGCATACATGGTGAAGGCAGGTGGCTGATTTAATTTCTTTGTCTTGAAGTGAATGGTTGCTTGGCATCCACTTGGTGAACAGAAAGACCTTCTTTGAGGCTTTGTTTCACCCAAGACCCTGTCCATGATGGTTTGAAGGCAACATGGGAGTGGGGTGTGTGTGGCCTTAGAGGTCCTAGGTGCAGTGGCAAAAGGGGACACTTGGCCTGAAGCCAGGGGAAGAGGTCACTGGGACTCACAGAGGAAGCTCTCTATAGGAAGTCTTCACCCAAAGCTAGCTTCTCACTGTGTGAAAGGGGAACAATGTAGTTGTTTACTGAGTGCTTAAGGCACGTTAGGGACTTCACCTACAATACTTACTCTTCGGAACCTTACAAGACGAATGCTAATTGCTCCCATCTTACAGATGGGTAAGCTGAGGCTTTGAGTCCTGTGATTTGTCCAGATGTCCTAGAGCTCATCACCAGTATTGCCTTTGCGAGCTCTCAAGCAAGAATCATCCTTTTCTTTGGCTTTGTTTTCCTAGAACCTCTCCAATAGACAGGGTATATAGACAGTAGTGACTGCCGACCAGTATGCTTGGTGAATGAACACCCTGACTCGCTAGGTGGGTACGCCTGACCCAGCCCAAGGGGAATCTCATGAGGCAGCTGTTACAGCTATTTTCTCCCTTGTTGTCTAAGAGGGAACCCTGTCTCCAGACCTGGTGAGAGCGGAAGTGTGAGAGAGCCAAGGGTCACCTCCTCACCTTCTCAAAAAACTGGTGCAGCATCCCAGGTTTCCCCGGTTAAGACCCATAAATGTTTCCCTAGGCACCCGGCACATGTCCGGCTCCCAGAGAGATAGCAACGAAACAGTTCCTAACTGTGCTGAAGGCGCCCCCAGGGTAGACAGACTCGTGTGGGAGGCACTGGACCCAGGAGAGCAATCAGAAATGGGGATTCAGCTATGTGGAGCTCACGTGGGTGAGGTATGGTGAGTGCTGGCTTTGAGTCCATTTGGCCCTAAGCAAAGCACTTCACATGTCTCAGGGGCCTCCCTATCCCCATTTCACTGTTGAGATCATAGAGGCAAACCCCAGACTTACAGTAAGACTGAGACTTGCTGTGTTAGGATGAGCCACAGCTAGGACTGGAACAACTCCAGCTACTAGTGCCTGCAGCCATGGGCTCACTGGGTGCCCAGAGGACAGCCTCATGTGTGGGCTCCACACTTGGACAGTGTGTGAAGCTGGGGCAAGGGCCTGCTCTTCCTGAGTCTTTCCGTGTCATTGAATAACCAGAACAACCTCAACACTTAACGGCTGTGTGGATCTGGATGCCTGTGGCTCCTGAGCTGCCTGTCTGGCCAGGTCGTAAAGCATCCGAGGAAACATGGACAGCGCTCCTTAGACCCTTTACCGGGTGAAGCTGTGGACCAGGGGAGCCCGGTTGCTTAGGCCATCTGCTGTGATCTGGCTTGGCCCTGATTCCTGGAATGTGGGTCTGTAACGGCTGCTTCCTCCTCTCCCATTAGGATGGACCTGCATCCTCTACCCCCTGCCTCCTGGAAGCTTCAGTCAGTATTTTTATGTCATTTGGAAGAGACACAAGGGCACAGTCAGTCTCTTGGGGGCTCCGTCTAGCCACTTCCCCTCTGAGAACTCGTTCTCAGCCCGCCCTCCAGAAGTATATAGTCATGAGGCAGGGAGGAAACGCTCCCTGTTCAG